CATATCTGAGGTTGTTGATATTTCTCCCAGAAATCTTAATTCTAACTGGTGATTCATCTAGCCCCGCCTTTCTCATGATGTGCTCTGCATATAAGTTAAATAGGCAGGGCAACAGTATACAGCCTTGCCGAACTCCTTTCTCAATTTTGAACCAATCAGTGGTACCGTGTCCAGTTCTCACTGTTGCTTCTTGACCCGCATATAGGTTTCTCAAGAGACAATTAAGATGGTCTGGTACTCCCATCTCTTTAAGAACTTGCCACAATTTGTTGTGATCCACACAATCAAAGGCTTTAGCATAGTCAATGAAGCAGAAGTAGATGTTTTTCTGCAACTCCCTAGCTTTCTCCATGATCCAGCGTATGTTGGCAATTTGATCTCTAGTTCCTCTCCCACTTTGAAATCCTGCCTGTACTTCTGGTAGTTCTCGGTCCACATACTGCTGGAGCCAAGCTTGTAGGATTTTGAGCATAACTTTGCTAGCATGTGAAATCAGTGCAATGGTGCGGTAGTTTGAACATTCCTTGGCACTGCCCTTCTTTGGGATCGGAATGTAAACTGACCTTTTCCAATCCTGCAGTCACTGTTGAGTTTTCCAAATTTGCTGGCATATTGAGTGTAGAACTTTTACTGCATCGTCTTTTAGGATTTTGAATAGCTCAGCTGGAATATCATTGCCTCCATTAGCTTTCTTGTTGCTCAGACTTCCTAAGGCCCATTTGACTTCACATTCCAGGATGTATGGCTCGAGGTCAGTGACCACCCCATCGTAGTTATCAGGGTTGTTAAGCTCTTTCTTGTATAGTTCTTCTGTGTAATCTTGCCACCTCTTCTTAATTTCTTCTGCCTCTGTTAGGTCCCTGCCATTTTTGTCCTTTATCATGCCCATCTTTGCATGAAACGTTCCCTTCATATCTCCATATCTCTAATTTTCTTTAAGAGATCTTTGATGCATTTGCAACTGAGTGTCCTTTCGGCTTTCACCCAGTCATTTCATTCTTTCTGGCACTACTAGCACTAGCCCTCTGCTCTTCCCCAGTAGCATATTGGACACCTTCCGACCTGAGGGACTTATCTTCCGGCATCATATCTTTTTGCCTTTTGGTACTGTCCATGGGGTTTTCATGGCAAAGATACTGGAGTGGGTTGCCATTTCCTTCTCCAGTGGATCACGTTTTGTCAGAGCTCTCTGCTATGACCTGTCCGTCATGGGTGGCCCTGCATGGCATAGCTCATAGCTTCATTGAGCTACGCAAGCCCCTTCGCCACGACAAGGCAGTGATCCATGAAGAAGTACAATACTGTAATATAATACAAAATAATAAAGAAAATGCAAAAGATAAAGAATAAAACAAATTAACCTGCACTCATCTTTGAAAACCTTCGTAGCTGGTATGATGGAGACAAGAGAGGGGAGGGTTACTGTGTAGGACAACTTTCACTCTCACTAACGGAATCACTGCTATCTCTTGGCTCAGTGGAATCTTTTTCTTTTCGTGCAACTTTAACAAAGAACCTATCCAATGATACTGCTTTTGCCTCCTTTTGAGGATTTCACGGAAATGGGACATTGCATTGTCGTTAAACAGATTCATTGCTTTATTTGGGTGGTGCTTTTCTACAAAATTTTGCACTGTTTCCCACATTTTACACATCTCCCTAATCTCATTTGAAGTGAGGGATTCCCCTGCCTTTTTCTCCTCCTCCTCTGTAGACAAGATCTCCTCCATAACCCCTTGTATCTGCTTTACCTTTCAGTATCTCTTTCTTGGAAAGGGATTGTACTAAATAACCTTGTAGTACAATCAGTGCTTTTTTTTGTCATAGAACGCACCGGAATGGAGTTCCAGCACCTTTTTTCGACAAGTTTTCCAAGTTTTAAAAGTAACTTTTGAAAACTTGATGTTTGGTCCACATGGATTCAAATCGCCCTCTTGAGCGTAGCAGGTTGGCAGCAAAATCATTAAAATGGTGCATGCGGGCTGCTTGTGTGTCGAATTCGATGCATGGTTGTGATGGTGCTGCTCGGCTTGTGGCGCTGCTTGGCTTGTGATTGGTCGTGTGGTCGCGTGCTTACTGCGGGCGGCAACCGTTATGTTTCGTTACACAACTGACCTGTGTGGGTGTGTGTACTGTGATTGACTACGTGTGAAAGGTAAATAATTTCATGAGTTCTGGCACCGTTTTTCTTACAAAAAAAGCATTGAGTACAACACACCATGTACTCCTCAGACACAGGCCTTGGAAGTCCACAGTTAAGAACTGAGATGATTTTTAAACAGATCTTCACAACAAAGCACCAAATATACACCAAATCATTGGAACAGTTATGTAGAACCTGATTTAAGTTCGTCAATGTCAGTGTACAGCACTAAACAACCCAAGACTCTAATAAAAACATCCCCTCTGTTTTCAGAATGAGTGTATGCCTTGCAGTAACCAACAAGCAAATGCTGTCAGCTTAAAGCTGTTTCCAGTGCAATCCTATGCATGTTTAGACAGAAAAACAGTTTTGTAATACCCAGCATACCCTCCCTTCCAAGAGAGAGAGAGAGAACCACCATTGGCTCAGTTGTAATCATGTAACATTTGGTGTCACGTACTACTCGTATTGCAAGACATGCTTGTTAATCAAGTTAAAATTCATTAGAAATGTTTGCTCGTCTTGTGGAACACTCGCAGAACAAGTTACTCACAATTCAAGGTTTTACTGTAGTACATTATTAAATAGAATGATAAATGTTACTGATTTAAAAGATGCATGGAGAAAGTTCATCTGTTCCCTTCTATCCTTTTTCCACGTTGGACTTGTTTGTAATTGTGCCTTTAGAATTTCCCTTTTTACAAATGACCACGTTTTTAAAAAGGACCATGCATGGGCACCCGCTTGTGGCTCTCAAACATCTGACATTTACCATACATGGCTCTTCCACTGAGGAAGTCTGGTCACCCTGGTATAGTAGTTAACTTACAGAGTGAAACTAACATCTACATCTAAATTCTGTAATACTACAGTCACCCTGTTTTGCAGAGTAAACCATTCTTACCAGGATGATGCAGTGGTGCTGGCAGCAGTCCAGAAGCATTAATGGGCTGTACTAGGCCCCAGTGCTGTGCCTGAAGATGGTGGGTGCTGGCATTAGTTTTTCCTATAGAAAACATTGCCTGATGCCCAATTGAATGCTTTTGGGTGCCAGGTGAAGACCTCTGTATTCCTCCAGGATGTTTCGATCAAGTTTGTGATTTTAATATACTGTGAGACATTGTAATATTTTAACCTATTTGTTGCTTTGCTGTTTCAATATAGTGGACTGGATTCAGATTTATTTTTAATAGTAGAGTCATTGCAATCAAGACTAAACCCCACAGACTAGGAAGAAACTGAAGAAGACTGAGAGACTTTTCTTCCTTTCTGCTTTGGCCTGATCACACTGTTAAAGGATCAGTAGTTCTGCACAAGCACTTGTGATCTTAACATGTGACATACATTTAAAGCAATATATGCAATCATAAATTGTAAAAGATAGAGACACTTGATCCTGCCTTTGCTTCAGTGTAGCATATTTACAATTTAATAAGAAATTATTGTTGTTTACATTTTATCTGTTATAAATTATGATGATGATTGCCATCAATGTACCAAGCACTTTATAGAGAAGAAAAAGGAGGAGGAGGAGGAGGAGTTATCCCTGCCCCAAAGAGTTATCCTGGGACTCAGTGAAGGGCAGTTAGAAAAGCATTTAATTAATTGCTTACAATGGAAACTTTCATTCTGAAGGAGAGAAATCTCCATTCTATAGGGACTTCTTGGTACCTGTTCTTATGCTCTGGAACTCCTTGCTGAAGGTGGTTAGGTTGAAAGGACTCATTGTTGTCCTTCAACCAATAGGCAAATGCATTTTTATTCAGTTAGGCTTTGAGTATATAAGTTGGTATATTGCTGAAAGATTTTTAAATTAGTTGGTGCTGCTTATTTCTGTCATTACTAAATTTTAATAGTACTTTATTT